GTGCCCTGAGACACCCACGTGGGTGGGTGTGGCTCCCACCCCAACGTGTTCACAGAATTTGAGCTAGAAACACCTAAATAGGACGTTAAATTGAGAGGCAACTATTTTTTGTTTTTTTGGGGAAAAAAGAAATCCTACATACGAGGTCTTATATGGAAAATCATAGAGGGAAAAGAGATAAATGTTTCACTATTAATCTTAAACCAATATAAGCAAATTAATAAAATCAATGAAGTTAGTTTTTATCTTAATGAAATATTTAGCTATATGATTGGGTGATGTATATCATTCACGTGATGCATACTTCTTATCAAAACTGACTGCATGTAAGCGGTATGTTCGGAGTCGTTAGATGCACACAGTAAGCGGCAAAATGGGAATTTTGTTCCAATTGTGTAGCCCACACAGAAAGCTCACATACGGTCAATAACTGATAAGATTCATAACCGCTTACGTGCATCACGTGCAAAGAGTTATAATATGACTTAATTACACTTATATAGAGAGAGAGCAAAACTTGTGTCAACTTAAGTGGATAGCAAAAAGTTATCCACCAAACTTTTTAGCCACTTATATTATCTAGGGATCCTTACATGATATGAAAAAGTTTTTTATATTAATAAATGAGTGGCTAGGAAGTTTGATGGACATCAACTTAAGTTTGTCCAAGTTCAAGATAACAATGGCAGATCGCCTTGGTCCTTCAGTTGATGATCGAGGCAAAGCCCCAGCCAAGGAACAACCATGCCCGGTAAATAAACCATTAATGGTTTCATATGCAGGGGGTCGTAAACACCCTCCTGTCAGAACTGCACAAGTCCAGCATGATATGAAAAAGTTTTTTATATTAATAAATGAGTGGCTAGGAAGTTTGATGGACATCAACTTAAGTTGATAGGAGTCTTACTCTATATATATACGCACACACACATGTATATGTGTGCATGTGTGTGTACATATGTACTTGTGTGTATCTTTGTGTGTTCATGTGTATGCTTAAGTACCCACCTCCACCTCAGCACATTTCTTGGGAAGCACCAAACGTCCAATACGACCAGCATCACTAGCACTTAAAATCTTTTCAAACAGAGGGGTGATGACAGAATTTGAACTTAACTATGGTTAGGGGCAGTACAAGGTAATTAAAAAATAATAATAATTTGCAATCATGTTCTTAGCTACTGGTTAGGGTAATTCAAATTCTGAAACTTGAAGTATAATAGTAACAATAAAAACATAATAAACTCTCAATCTAAGCTATTGCAATTGGCTACACTAATCAGTGTCTTCCATTCACTTGTATCAGAGAAAAATTACTATAATTGGTTTTCTTAATCTAATAGTTAATAATAGCATAAACTCAAAGGATACTCGCTAGACATTTGTTGTAACTCTTGATCTGTAATCCTAGGCCAGTAACGAGGAAGTAATTGTGCTCGAGCCCGGGCATCCACTCGAGGTCTTCCGCTTCGCACTTCAACAGAGGCGTCATTCATATTGTGAGAATTGGGGGGGAGTTGTTTCGGCAATGGAGGAGGCATCATTCTTTGAGACTGAGCAATTAATGTCTGATCTGGATCAATAGAGGCATTTGGTGATGAAAAAGCAGCAGTAAAACCAACAAGTAAAGGTGAAAAACCTAACTTCAAAATGGTTGACGGTGGCTTTGCAGAATAGGATGTGACACAAAATTAACTTCAACGGGACTAGTTGAACAAGGATCAGTGACTACACCTTTTCTTGAAGATCCTGGGGCATTATCGTTCTAAATAGTGGCTAGAATCTTGCATGGCATTCCCTTCCTCTCTGTACATGTTAAATGCAGAAGAAGCATCCAGAGAAACAGTTCCATTATGCACAACATGATTCAGACTGCAAGATGCTAGTCTCTCAGAGGTTTCTGCAACCTTTTTCTCCTGTGCAGATGTAGAAGCGCGTACTCCTGCAATCAGTCGTTCAGTATGAAGAGGCCTATCAAATTCATATGACAATCGCTGCTGCAAATCGGACTGAATACCAGCATTCCATAATTGTGGCCGTTGCCGCCATTGCCCAGGAAATGAACCAGTCATTTGATTCCACGTTTCTACAGCATGTTCTTTTGGCCTCCCGGACAGTTGTGATGACAGAAGCAAAGAGGGAGACCAAATACTATCTGGTGCCTGAAATACAAAAATCCATTTACGAGGACGCAATGATGATGAGCAGAAAAAAAACATTTATCCTTAAGGGGCAATATTTGCATCAAGATTCCACGGAAGTACAAGGTTAAATTCAAGTGACAAGTGTTTATCGACAAAATGGGATAAAAATTAACTTAGAAAGATAAATTTTTGCATCTAAACATATAAGTTGGGAGAAACTTGATAGGGAATCTACACACTGGAAACAGGAAAAATTAATGTTTTCTCCCAAAAAGATAACAATCAAATCAAAAGAAAAGATATTAAAATTAATCTTATTTGCTATTTGACTGAGGAAGAGTACTCAATTAAAAATGTATGGCATTTTTCAAACAAGATAATACCACATGAAAATGTGTGCAGGTGAAGACTTGCATATACAGTTTGTTGGGGATTCAAAACAATCAAATCGAATTCATACCCTTCCGGATCTTGAGTTTGAGAGTTGAACAAGAAAGAAATTCACCACAAATAAAGATCAAAACTTGCAAGAAAGGTAAAATAGACGAACACACAGATTTAACGAGGTTCGGCAACGTGCCTACATCCTCGGGAGTCACACCACACAATTCCTTTGATTAATTGAAAAAGGAATACAAACACTCAAACTAGAGTTTAATCTCTCTGAGATTCTCTCTTTCAAAAGCCCTCTTTCTGATAGTTTTTAATAGTCTATAAACCCTAAAAAATGTTTGGGTATATATAGCAATCTGAATCAAAACAGAATCCAAAACAGTTTAGGAAACTGTCAGCTCGACTCGCAATCGACCACCGAACCAGTCGCAATCGACTGGATAAACAGAAACCTAAAAAACACCTATAGGGTCTCGCGGTCGACCGGACCATCTGCCGTGGTCGACTGGAAAAAGTCCAGAGACTTTCATGTTTCGTGCAAGTTCGCGGTCGACCGCCGTGATC